AACTTGTTTTTCTAATGTTTATCTATCTATAATACCCTGCATGGTTTTTTTCACCATCATATCAAAAGCATGGATGACTCCTAGCTCTACAATAATGTCCATTGATAGAGGCTAGAGTATGGGCAAGCTTTGACTCATTGCACTTATTTTTTTTCATCATTATTGCAAATAATGGATTTTCACTCACATATTTTTTTGAAAAATATAATTTTCAAATGTCTCATCAATAATCTTGTAATAACTCTCTCAAGAACATTAAAGATGCAAGTATATTACAATACATTAAACTATGATATTGCACAATAATAAATCACTTTGGCATATGTGCTCCATCATTCAATGAATCATCAGTTTAACTTGTGTGAGTAAGCATTATGATGTGGAAACATCAAACTTATTATAAAAGGTACACTAAAATATCAAAATGAAGTTCTTATTGTAGGGATTGAAGGCTAAGATATCATCATCAAGGAAGCAAAAATAAAGAGCCTTATGTGGAACTCAAAAAAATTATGATAAAGATATTAAGTTTAAGATTTAAATATCCAATTTAAAATTTTTAAAAAGTTAATCTTTAATTTATTATTTTAATTAACTTTATCAAGGAAGCTCTGCATGCATACCAATCAAATCTTATTTATCGATGTATCCAACTTCTAAACTTCATTATATATATATATATATACACACACACACACACTTATAAGTGAAAATGTGTATTTTTTTTTCTTATAAGTCAAAATAATAATATTTTTATATGTTGTGAAAGATTTGAATGTTTTAAGCATAAAAAGTTTAGTTTTGGAATTTGATGGTATGTATATAAATGCCCCTTAATATTAAAAGTAACATTTAAAACTCTTGCTAAGAGGAGAGAATATTAGGTATGAAGTTCGTATGCTTGTGGATTCCGTATATGAAATTATTATATAATGTTGTATATGGAATTTGAATGCATGCGGACTCTGTACGTAACAATTTTTCTACTAATAGTCCTCCCGATGGCCAGGCAAAATTTTCTAGTTGCTTTACCTTTTGCTGGAGCGAGCTTATTTAATAAAGAATGAGGAATTTTTATGTAATAAATACTTAATCACTATGAATATACTGTATATCATGTCATATAAGTTTTTATGCCAAACAAAGTTAATGAATCATATAAAATAAAGTTTTGATTAATTCAATTAAATATTCGATTATATAAATTATTACAATTATGAATTAATTAATGTATTTTAAAAATCTAATAAAATATATAAATCATTATAATTGATTAAATTTGCAAACATGGAAAACACTTAATTAATAATGATTCAAAATATTATAATTAAGGTTATTTCTTAATTGAGAGATTAATGATGTAAGCAGCATATAATGCCATAGTTAGAAAGGTAAATAAGTATACTAATACATTAGGAATAAAGAAATTTACTAACACTCTCAAAAGATTAACAATTATGTAATGAGAAAATTAAGCACATAATCATTAAATAAATAATATAATAGCTTTTATATTAATAATATGAATTAAAAAAAACAAATATATTTAGTGAAATTAATCTTCATCTTGATGGGTATTATAAAATGGTTAACATGTAAGAAAATATAAACCTAAAAATTCATTATATGACACCAAAAAATCATTATTTTTACTAGATTAATAGGAAGATTTACATATGTTCCACTCATTTCCTATGTTTTTTACAATCTAAACCTCAATTTTTACATAAATACTACATTATCTATGTATGAAAAATTATATTTCAATTATTAAAAGTTAAAATGATGATATTTTTTTAATGTGATATGAAATATTTGGATGATATGAAGATAAAAAGCTAAGTTTATGCATTATATATGTGCATATTTTGGAAATAGACGGTAAGTATGTAAATGCCCAAATTAATAATCATAAGAAACATATGAGTATATGAGTTCATAGGTGAACTATTGATGATTTCTCATGTTTGATGTGATAAATGTTATAAATAATAAATTATTTAAAATTAAAATCCTTCTAATGAGATGCTTTATCGATCCATCAAACATTACATATGAACATAATAATCATCCATGTTGCACATTTACCCGCAGCATAATGATTGTGTGTGTAGTTTCTCAGTATGAGATCATAGATTCGAATCACACATATTACGCTTTGGGTTTATCTTGTATGAAAATAATAATAATACTTAAATTAGATTGCGATGAATTATATGATTGTTTGCATCAACTCACATGACACAACTCGCAAATCTATAAAAATATGATGCTTTTAATGAAAATATATCACAAAGAAAATAAAATATTAGAAAATGTTACATGATGTTAATAAATTGATTAATGATGATATAAATAGATCGATGATGTACTAAGTTATAAGTAAGTCATATTGACACATGTTAATAAAATGATTAATCTAACAACCACATATATATAACATCTTAGTATTGTTATATTTAATCGTAACATTTTAGTATTGTATTTTAGTAGGTCCACGACGTCAGAGTGAATATTTAACATTTTAGTATTGTATGGGACTCCAACACACAGTCGGATAATAAAAGTGAAATAAGCAGGAGGAGACTTCTTGTTTTTTACATGAATAACTTTGACAAGGAGAAAAACTTCATGGCCAAACTAGTTGAGATAATCCACTATGAATGGTGAGTACACGTATTCACTCTTCTCCTGAATTAGGCAAGATGAAGTTACAAAGTCTATCATTACAAAAGTATAACAATAGTTCACTGATAATAATCGTAATCTGGTTGTAATGAATATGGTTCTAGGAGATAGCAGACAACAAGGGTTGTAGTCGATTAATATGGAGGCAGTAATCTGCCGTGAAGGTTATGGATCGGGACTGTAGTGCCAACTTATCTGTAGGTTGTAGTTTAAAGTCATTGTAGTAATTAGCTGTGTAGGCCACATATGGTTGCTTCAAAAGCGTCAGTTAGTCACATAACACGTAGTAGGAACCCGTAGAAGCTATGAGCCATGTAAGTCGTAGTTGCTCACAGAGGTCGTAAAGGTGAGTTGTAATGATATTCACAGGCCATGGGGGCTGGAGTCGGGAGCTGCATGAGTTTTGAACCAAGTATGTCGTAGTTGGTCACGTTGATTGTAGTGGTGAGTTGTGATGAAATCCATAGGCTCCAGGGGCGAAGTTGGAAGTTGCATGAGTTGCGAAACACATGTCGTAGTTGGTCACGTTGGTTGCAGTTGTGAGCTGTGATGATGTCTGTAGGCCTGAGGGACAAAATTTTGGAGCTACATGAGCTGTGAACCACAGATTTGTAGTTGATCATGTAGGTCATAGTGGTAAGTTGTATTGATGTTTATAGATCGCAAGGGCCGAATTTAATAACTGCATGAGCTGTGGACCACGTAGACCTTAGTTGGTTATGTAAGTCATACTATTGAACAATGTTGACGGCCGTAGACCAAAGGGGTCGGAGTGGAGAGCTGTACTAGCTGTGAACCATGTAAGCTTTAATTGGTCGCATAGGTCATAGTAGTGAGCTATTATAATGTTTGTATGTTGTGAGGGCCTAAGTCAAGAGTAAGAGGAGCTTACATACTACTTAAGCTATAGTTGGTCATGAAGGTCGTAGTAGTAAGTTGTGATGACATATGTGGACCATGATGGCTAGAGTTGAGAGCTGCAAGAAGGGAGCCATAAGAGTCTAAAGAAAGTTATCATCTTTGAGGTGCATTGTTACCCCTTTTTCGAGATGTGTCATTTCATGTATTTGGGGTGGGTTGTTACAATGTCTTCAAGGCGTGTCATTACATCGTTATGGTGTGCGATATTACACCGTCTTCAGGAGACATCATTACACAATATCTGAAATGCATTTTTACATTGTTTGTGGAGTGCTTCATTGTTCCGCAATGTACAATGAGATTTTTCAGTACACCTTGTGACTTCACAAGGGACTTTGCTGTAAGGAGTAGGCGACGATCGATGATGATCGACGATGGCGGTAGCCAAAGTTGGCCAAAGGAGGTAGCGGTCAGAGTTGGCTAGATGCGACAACGAACAGAGGTGCCTGAGGATGAGGTGGCGACAATCGAATGCGCTAGAGGCAGCAACAACTGGCGTTGGCCGAAAGCGGTGGCAACCGGAGGTACAGGGCAAGAGGAAAATAGTGTTCGGCAGCTGCAAGTGAGCGGTAGTTGGCAACGATTGGGTCTAGCCCAAGCCCAACCCTTCTAATTCTCTGCTCTAATTATGATGCAGTTGAGTCCATCATTTTTTTTCTGTGGGTCAATGTGTAATCAAGCTGAGTTAAGCTTGAGTCATAGCGAATTTGAGCTCATCTCGATTATCAAAAGTGCGTTCAAACTTAAGCTCGAGTTGAGCCCATTGAATGTCGAGTCGACTCATTTGCTTATTCTTAAGCTCAAGAGCATGACTCGTCCTGATGTGAGCTCCTTGAATTATCATCAAAGGAAGTGATGGAGCTCAACGAAGAAAGCATAAACAAGACCAACAACTAATCTCAAAGAAGGAAAAAAGCCTTGGTGAGAACTTGCGAGAGAAGATTTCCACGTGACTAGTTGTTGTCCACGAGTGAGGAAATGACGTAATTGATCAGTTTTGAGAATCATCAAACATGCAAAGAAGAAGAAGATTGACATAATTTAAATAAAACTCGAAAGAATTTTTTATTACTCGCATTTAATTAGTAACTATTTTGTCTTTTACAACAAATTCCCCCGTTTATTAGAAGTAATCAACTCTTAAATTTTTATTGGAGATATTATAAAAATTCATTTTAATCGAGTTGGCTCGTGAGCCAATGAGTCGAGTCATATTAAACTTAAACTCTAGCTCATCTAATTTACTGAGTTTACTAAGTTGGAATTTAAGTTTGGGGTTGAACTCATTTCGTTACAAACTTGACTGAGTGAGCTGATCAGCGAGTCAAATCGATCCTAATCGGCTCACTTATTCCACGGTCCGAGCCACCCCACTATGTCGTGCAGTCAAATTGTTTCCACAAAACCCTACACATTTTCATGGATTCCACCACTTCCGACGCCGCAGTTCTTCTCCGCGACTCCTCATCATCCGCTGCTGCGAGCTGCCTGTACATTATCTACCTATCTCTTCGCAGATTCACTTGCTGTAAGAGAATTATTGATCCCGAACTTTCTTCCTTCGAGGTGTTTCTCTGACTGACTTTGGAAGGTCATTTTCACGTGATATTTCTCTTTCTGTTTTTGTTTATTTTCAGGAACAAGGAGCGAGCGGAGCTAAAGAGAGATAGAATGTACTCCTTCACGTCGATTTGCCACAGTTTGGGTACAAGGGATGTGGCTTTCACATTTGGGTTGAATCCCCCAAGTCATGCTGCCATTTATAATCAGAGGTTGCTTACTTTCGCAACAAACTGCTTTCTATTGATGAGATCGGCGGGATGGAATTAGCAATGCGTTTAATTTCGATTATGCAAATTTTGATTTCAGAACTCCTTTTAGCTTTGATATTTATTAGTTCTTATTTCTTAAAGATTGGGTATATATATATATATATATATATATATATA